GCACTCTGAATCCAGTGGCGTAGTGATTTTTTCAATAAAAAAATCGCTAATAAAAAATCCCGATTTTCGACTAAGAAAAAATATCGTAGTATGTCCTGAAACTTTAATGAACATTTCAAATTTTGTCCCAAGGTAGACCTTTCAGTACTTGACATTTCAAAAAAAAATTATTAAAATCGGTTTACAACTTCAAATTTTAGAGGGGTGTTTCCATTAAAAATGGGTCACACTGTATATAAAGTTATAGTAAAAGGCGAAGTTCAATTTTCGCAGCTATGCAAATAACTAATAATCTGCACCCGTCTCTGAAGTCACTGAACCTTAGAAAATTTACATCTACTATTAAAAAGTTTCTCCTCCAACACTGTTTTTATAACATTGAGAGATATATTGACGTGGCAGGGTCTTTAACTTGTGAAAGACTTCATTAAATTCTAAGTTTATCCTCCGTATTAAAAAAAATTATACAGTAATTTTGTGATTTCCAAAACCTGATTTTGATGAAAACTAAATGAAACTTTATAGCTGTTCCAGTTGAAGATATCATTTCTTACTTTATCAAGTGCAGGAGGAAAAAATAAAACCCAATTATACATTAGATAAACCTATAATGAAAGAACAATATCATTTATATAAAACAAATGTATACACTCAGTCGAAAGTATCTTCTATGAGACTAAAAAAATTCAAATGGGAGACATATTCAAATGGTCAAGAACATATTATTCTTGTACAAAAATATTGCTATGGAAACCCATAAGAAGGTACCCCAGAGATTCATGAACAAGTACGTTCCATGAGTAATCAGACTGGGCTTCCATCCGAACGGAAATGTGTTTGTCATCAGTATATGGCCGATGTACAAAATTATGGCATTCATTCCGGGGTAAAACAACGGCCTGCCTCCCCACTTCTTCAACACATCAACGAGTAAGAACAAGACGGTCTGTATAATGAATGCCATTCCGGAAGTTACCAAAGCAAATGAAAGCGACCAAAGCTGCTTGTTTAAAGGAATCCAGCCATCGTTCCTGGTGAAGTTGCAGAGAGCTCCTCCCAATATGCCCTGAAAATAAGTCGTGAACTGATATTTTTCCTGAATGAAGGAATACTTACGGTAGAAAGGCCCCAAACGATCCAACGAATTACTTTCTCTCGGTGGTTTTGGAAAGTATGGTAAGTTATTCCAGCTTGAACACCTAGGTACACCGTAAAAATGGAGGTTAAAGTTCCTAAAATACCTAGAAAATAAAAACAAAGGAAGCTATTTATTGGGAGTGATAGAACGAAAACAAAACAAGGGTTTGATGAAGTATTTAATATTATATTTGAGCCCAAAAATAAATATTCTGGATGAAAATTAAAAACATTCACTTTCACCAACTTTCCTAGGTAATTAGACCTGGAAATTTTTTTACGAAAAACTATCATTTCCCCGGCTAGCACGTCTATAAACATCGGAGGTATATGAATGAAATGAAGTGAGTTTTCATTTTCCTCAAAAAATATTTATTTATTCATCAATATCTATTTCGTTCCCTTCAAGGTAGTCCATCTCTGATATAAGCAGTTCTGATATCCACTTTTTGATAAAGCTTTTTAAATGTAGGAAGAGCTTTCTGAATTTCGTTTTGGTCCCGCCCACTAGATCTACGTTCGTTAAAAGATAGTGAGAGACAGAGAGAGAAAGATTTTTCATATCTCTTCCTAGATTTGACAAGCTATATGTCTTTAAGTTATCTCGGCAGTTCGGTTTTTGTCCCCTCATTCGTCACAAAACGACGCCCTTTCATGCAACAGAAAAAAGCAGTAGAGGGGCCAGATCCGCTGAATAATGTGTTGTTTTCGGTTAAAAAGTGAGCATGTGCATTATCGGCAAAAGATATGAATTGTTTTTCCGGACGTTTTCTTCGTATTGCTCTCGCAAGCGGAGCATATAATAGGGGAACCCAAGTGGGGATTTCGGGATTTACTAAAGCGCGGCAGATTAATATACAGGGGGATACCTTGTACCCGGTTGAGTACCTCCGCCAAATATGAGCCCCATATATAAGGCCGCCCGTGAAGGATAAAGGATCAGATTAGTAAAAAAAATTGATAATCAGAAATTCTCGAGCGCGTCAGATTAAGGTAGGGTGAGTTAATTACCTGCTAAAAAGTGTATATTCCAGTAATCTGACAATTTGAGAGTGACGTAAAGAAAGGGGAGGGCAGCAAAGTTGTAAAAAATAACGTCATTTCCACATTCTCGAGCGTAGCTAATTTTTTTTTATTTTGAAGGAAATAATTCAAGGATAACGAAAAATATATAACCTGACGATTTCCTCTAGCGAAAATAAAAAAAATTCGTCGATAAAGTTTAATGCGTGCAGCTGTGTGATACCTATATTTCCCTCTCCGAGTTTCTATTCCTCTATTCTCTATTCACTTTTTTTCTATCTATTACTCTCTCACTCCGTCCCCACTCTGAATTCTGTTGCCATGACGCCATCACAGAGACTCGTTCGTGATGAACATGAAGATGATGATTAATTAATCAATTAATTGATGGATGTAGCCGTTACTACGTGGTAGGAAATCATAATGAAGAAAAGAGAAATTGAACTTTCTATGTTTTTACCACTTTTATTTGTAACTTGTATATTGTATAAGTTTGAAAATGTCCTTATAGGACGAAACTTCAGTAATGTTAGTTACAAATAAAAGTGGTAAAAAACAGAAAGTTTCATTTCTCTTTTCTTGATTAATTAATCAATTGATTATAAAAAATTTCAATTTTTTGAGCATTTTTTAAAAATTATTTTCTTATAAATACAAGTATTCTACTTAAAAAACATACACTCATTTATTTGCATGCTATTTCCTGAGCTTTTCAATCAATTAAGTTCAATGAATTGAAAAAAAAAATTGTTTTTGTCAGATTAAGCGAATCCCTCTAGATAATCGTCAGATTATGAGACAGCACGTCTAAAACATAAAGATGAACCATATATATCTTAATCTGCTGACGCGCTTGAGTATTTCAAAATGGTGAATTTTTTTTGCACATTATAATAATGGCCGCGAGTTTGCGTCAGATCGAAATCGACAGATTATTGAATGAGAGCTTTATTTTTGTTGCACTCAACACCCCCTTAGAAAATCTGACGCGCTCGATTAATTTTTTTTCTTTTCACTTTTAACCCTTACGTACAACCACCCACATCATGCAAACGATCAGATTAACATACCAACATTATTAAAAATACGTAGGACATTGATGCTATGAATATCTGACGCGCTCGAGTATGTCCATGCAACAGTATTTTTTTACATATTTAAAAATCTATAGTCGCTTCCCCCACCGATGAAAAGGTATACATTATATAACATTTTTTTCTTCTTATCATCTAAGCTTTGCAACCTAATATGTCTCAATGACGCTCGAGTAAATTCCCATTTTGCATGAAAAGCTTGCACCACTCGAGAACATTTTTTTTAATTCAGAGTACAATCACAGTATGCCGCTGTCACCATTTCAAGTGTTTTTGAGCTCTTAATCCCATGTTTTATACAAAATTTGACGCAAATTCTTTGATCCAATTTATTCGATTGCAGAAAATCGCCAAAAACGCAAAACACTTCTAACTTTTATGCCTCTCACCAACAAACTCAACAAGCTAAACAGCTGAACTTGTGTACCAACATAAAAAAATCACAAATCGACTGTACGCAGCCCGCGAAGTTTGAAAATTCACTAAATTTTTTGAACAGACCTCGTATGTATAATAATTACAAACATACAGGGCGTTTAAAAAAACATTAGCTAACAAACTTTTAAGAAACATCAAATTCAAAGTGGGCTTGAAATAAGTTCTTTCTCAGGAATATATCAAATACCCTTTTAAAATGTCCCTCACCTTCTGGATCATAATAAACGACATTTTCATACACCTTTTGGCATGCGGGATGCTTATACATGTGATGCCCGAAAACAGCTCTATCTATATATCCCGCTACACCACCTGTGCAGTTGAAGTACTTTCCCCCCTCGTCCAATCCTCCTGGCCCCAAATATCCACGTCCGCATGACGGCACGTCCACAAGAAACGTAATGCAAGTATGTATGAACACCAACAATGAAACAGTTATCCACTGCCGGAAGGATTTTTTGATATCTGCCGCCCATGAAATGTTCTGAAAATATATAAATGTAAATAACAATTTTTGCTGATAGTCTTTCAAAAACTGACATCTACTTCGTTCCTTTTAGTGAATGCGATTTCCAGTATTCCAACCACCAAGTAGGTCAATCCAATACGCTGCAGGACGCCGGGGAATCGTAAATCTTCAATGGTGGACATGTTTTTATTTGAATTCAAGATCAACCCAATCGCTATCAATATAAAAGATCTACGTATCACTGTGAATATCATAACGCGTTTTGGAATTAGGTATCTGAATTTTTTCTGGAGTGATACTGTCAGTGACAACCCCATCAACCATAGAAACCTGAAAAAGTGAGGTGTTTACAGTGCAAACTTTGATATTACGCCCTGTTCAATATAAGAGTAGGGGACTATTTACATCCCTACTGTATTGGAATTACATCAAAAGTTGCTGAAACTTTTCTGAATACAACATTACAAGTAGAAACATCAATGTAGTTCGAAATTGATTCTGTCTGAAGCTGCTATATTGTTTTGTAAAGTGTTAACAAATGGAAAAGACTGAGACATGCAGTATAGAACAAAAAAGTTTGTATAAGTTTTCATATTTACCATGGAAATACCAAATCGGCAATAGTAATACCATTCCAAACCGAATGTTTGAAAAACCAATACTGTCCTCCTCCATAATTCACAAATATCATAAGTGTGATACAGAAACCTCTGAAAATGTCTATGGATTTTATACGATGTGGATGTTTACGGGCTACAGGTCTGTCATTCACCAATGGAGTTCCTGAAGACGAGCCTCCCAAATCCTTGAAAAATACTCAATGAAACTGCAGCTCAGATCGATGACAGACATATTTTTATATGATATATGCAATTTTTTTAAGCAATTTCATAGGTATTTCAACAGATCAGTCGATTTTGTCAACAATTAACTGATTATTAATTAATATATAAATGAATGAAAAACCCAACTCACTGTTTCTATCTCAGTACTCAAGGAAATCAGTTGTCTTAGTTTGCTGCTGTTCTTGTAAATACACTTGACCATATACCACATGGTTCCAAAACAGAAAAGTACTACAAATGCCATCAAAATAGCTGAAAAAAACATACTATTCATTCTTAAATTGAAACTTACTGCTCCAAATTTTACTTAATTTTAGTAAAATGTTAATTTCCTATGAACCCAAGTACTCCCCCTGATATCTATTGTATTCTGAAAAATATATACAACGTACGCAGATATGCATCATCGGCAGGTTCCTTCACGTACACCGGGGTGCATGTGTCCGTAACATTCCATCCGTAACGATAGTGTTCGTAAAGTAATTGGGGCCTAGATACAAACTTCATTGAGCAACCAAATCAAAGCGTTAATGAAAACACTTACCAGCATTCCTGGGTCTTATCCTTCCAAGAATATTTAAATTGGATAGGAGAACTGGTTTTGACGACAACGGAAGTGTTAGTGGAAGGGCTCAAGAGGGTTAAATTTTGAAAATCGCATTTGTGACATTCATCATACTGGTAAAATATGCTTAGGGTTTCATTTACTTTATTCACAATATCTACGCAGGCCTCATCATACACTAAGTTTGGATTGAGATCCAAACATTTGTTTTTGTTTTCGAACAACATCTTTGCTAAGAAATGGGTGGTTTGGTTTCAGATTAAACCACTTTTCCAATTTATTCCATCAAAGTTTCGTTATTTCTACACAATATTTTTTTAAATTTAATTATGAACCTTATATGTTTTGATAGAGTTATTGTTCTTTGTTGGGATTTTACAAATTATTTATATTTATTTATAATATCAATGAGTCACTTGGCACTTTGTCATGTTGTGATTTTGTAAATCACAACAGATAAAAGTGGACTTGTACTGTTATAGAACACTAGATGACGCTCCATTACTAGGGTTCAAAAAACTATTAGTGTGCGTTCGGGTATTCATAGTACATTCAGTACGAGTAACTTGTCCAACTATATTATATTTTGGTGCTTCATCCGAATAGATTATCCTACGTATTTTTGCCTGTAGTACTGGAATGTCGCAAAAGTTTCTAAAAAAATTATGTTTACCAGCCTTTGGTATATACTTATAGGTACCTGCCTTACCGGCCTGACCTTCCATTTCAACTTTTAGCTTTTTGTACAGGAGTCAGGTTGTATGTTTATCTTATAAATCGTAAGAAGAAAGCCAGGATGGACACATCTTTCTAAAAAGTTCGCCAACTTCTATAATAAGCCAAGTTTTTCAATTACATAATTTCTTTTAATATTCAAGTCATATTGAAATCATGAATATGTCAGAAATGGGAAAAAATTTCATCGATGAGAGAGCTAGTGTATTCAACAAATTGTAATTTCAAACGGTAAACAGCTGATGAAGATTAAGTTGAAAAACTATACAGCAAAATTGTGAAATGGAATTTTATTTTGTTTGTGTTTGCTGTGTTTTGAGTCGATCAACTTTGAATTTATGTGAATGAGGATGGTGAAAAGGTAAAATTGAATATAAAGCAAAAGAAACCACAATGGGAGCAGATGACAGGACTTTATTTCCTTTCCTCCTTGATTTAATGGTCTCAGTTTTCTTTATCGGCGCTATATGACCAGCTCTCTTCTAGCTATGAACTTTGTCCTGTAAATGCGTAAGTCTTGCTTTACACAATACTGCTCTTTTTGATAATGCTTCTCATTTTATAAATTGCTTGAACGTCTTCCGACGGCGGATATACACAATTGATTATACTTTCCCTACACGCATAAGTATTGTCTGCATGCACGTGCAATGATGTCGTCAGCTTTCGTTCCCTCGGCGATGAGAACAGCCGCTACACGTGCACCCACATCGACGAGGAAACGGAACTCCAGGCAAGACTTTGTTTTACCGTTTGACTAGTTTCTGATATTTCCGATAGATGGCAATTGGATGATTATATCTTTCCTTAGAAGAAAGAAGAATGAAATGCAGCAATTCGTAATTCGTAGTACGTAGTACGTTCGGTATTCAGGGCTCGGTGGGGGTTATGACTTTATGAGTTATGACAAAAATGGCTGCTACTGCTGCTGATGGTTTTCAGTAGAGTGCATATAAATGATCAGTGTTAAAATGTACTAGGCAATCCAATAAGGTGATTGAGGTTTATATTGTCTCCTAAACTCTTGTCAGTTTTTCGAATTTCTGCGACTGCTTTCATAATATTTATATATAGGTTAATCCTCCTCATTCTGCTCGATCTCAGGGTTTGTGGTATTTATTGTAGATTTTCTTTCTTAAATCAAGGCCATGATCAGGATTTCCACAGATCTTCGAACGTTTCTCAAAAAAGCCTGAAGAAAAATTCGATGTCAGAAACGTAAGTATTAGTTTGTTTCATTAGTCTATGACATTTGTTTTCATTGCCACATCTTTTTTTAAATCCATTCCAAGAGAGCCAGTCATAGATTTGATCTTTCTAGTCAACAACATTATTTGCTGTATACATCATCAACCTTTTTAGCGGTTACTACTTTACCCATACCATATTTCCCATGATCCCTTAGATCTTTAGTAGAATATGTGAAACATGTGATACTTTCACATTACATTTTTTTAAAGCAAAATCAATATGAAAAAAAGACAACTTTTAATCTTTATAATCTGGAATTAATAAACTATGGATTAATAGAATGTATTAATTTACTAGATACATAACTAATCTTTATATCAGGGTGATAAAGTCTTATTTGTGGTACTATGGGTTTTCACTCGCCTGGAATGAAAAAACGTTACATTTTGTTGGTATAATACTTTGACATAAGTGGTTTATGTACACAAAGAATAAAAAAGGCCCAAGTACCGAACCTTGTGGTACTCCACGTTTTATCGGTTCAATGTTGAATTTGACATTAAGATCAACACACTAAGCATACATGAAGACTGGCGTACCTCAAGGCTCAAAACTGGGCCCGCTCTTCTTTTTGGTGTATATCAATGATTTACCAGATGTCAAAATATCTGGAAATTTTACACTGTATGCCTAAGACACCACCATAATGTGGCAAAGTTCGGATTTAGATTCTTTAAATGAATTTATTCATAATGATGTCAACCTAATTAGAAAATGGTGTAACTCAAATAAGCTTTCTTTGAATGTCTTAAAGAACAGTGTTGGTGCTTTCAGAGGGCAGATTGAAAATGTTCCACTAAGGGAATTGAGAATAAATGTAATACATTATTCCTGGGGTTACACATTGATAGCAAACCGAATTTCAACAATCATTTTGAGGCTTTCAAAAGCAAAATTGCATCTGTATGTTATGCAGTTTGTCATATCCAATGAACTTGAACTGACCAACGCAAAGATGATTTGTCATTCACTAATCCAATCTCACCTGCATTATAGCAATGCCTTTTGGGGGGTCTGTAACAACCACATGCAATCAATTTTATACCAACGAAAACGTGCAATACGGTACATGTGTAAAGCAAAAAATCGAGATTCTTATCAACCATTATTTATCAAGTATAAGATTCTGACAGTAGTAGCATATTCATATTGGAAACTGCATGCCTGATAAGAAAACTTATCAACAGCTTTGAAGTCATCAAACGAATTATAGTACTTGGCAGGCAGAAAATATTAGATTACCTATTCCAACCTCAAATCTGGTCAAAGACTATCTTATATTCAATGGTTGTAAAATACTATTCATACTATATTTAAACGACATGCCATTGTTTGTCGACTGTGAATTTATGAACTTTTTTGCTGATGATACTCTATTGGCATGTAGCGATGTGAACCTTACGATGGCTATACAAAAAATGAATAATACTCTGGCAAGTGTCAACAAGTATTTAAAAATTAATAAACTCAAGCTGAATGTGATGAAAACTAAAGCGATGATAATCACCACCAAGTTTAAATACANTTAATATTATAACAATCTACCACTAGAGATAAAAGCTCAACAATCTTTAAAAAAAGCATTGAAATCTATACTCACTGAAAAACCATACTACTAGGTTACTGATTTATTTATTGAAACATTTTAAATTGGATTAAATTTCAATACTGAAGTCATCTTGTGTTAGTGCAATTACCCTGGTTTAATGTAGCATCCGATATGATGTACCTTCATTCATTATATCCTGACCAATTCATGTTTTGTTGTATGTCTCGTTATAAGTTATTTAGGTTCATCTTCTAACTGATATGTGTTTTGTTATGTGTCTATTTAAGATACATAATTATTTTGTCTGTGTAAATTTTGATGGAGAAAGCCTATAATGATCGTGAAGAATACTTTGGTTCATTTTGATACATTAAGTATTGATTTTGTTATCAAGATTTTTATACAGCTTCAGACTTAACAATTATTCGTGATCTTGATATTTTTTACTTCGACATTGTATACTATACATTTTTGGTGACTATCACAGCAATTTTGTATTAGGTTTTTGACATCACTTTGAAATTTTCTCACAATAAAGTATACATACTCTATTGAAACCAGTTACCTTTGATGTGAAACTAATCTAAACGTTCTCTTTATTATTCCAGCTTCTGATGACATATACAAATGAGTGAAATGAGTGTGGGAGCCATGCAGGGTGCTCCAGGGGAACGCCGACTCAAACAGCTCGAGTTAATGTTCCTTGGAGGGCCTGCAGTGGCAAAAGATCAGAGTTTCAGCATCGAAACGCTCATCGACCTCCTTATCGTGCTCTACGACGAATGCTGCAACTCCAGCTTGCGGAAAGAGAAAACCGTCTCGGATTTTATAGAATACGGTATAATTATGTCATTAAATAAACTCGCCTCCATTCAATTCAATTTGTTTTTTTAGTCAAGCCTGTTGCAACCACGGTGAAAACGCTGAGGTTGACCAGAGATGATTTCGAGATCGTTAAAGTCATCGGCCGGGGTGCTTTTGGAGAGGTTTGCGTCGTCAAGTTCAAGGGATCGGAGAAGGTGTTTGCAATGAAAATTCTCAGCAAGTGGGAAATGCTGAAGAGGGCCGAAACTGCTTGTTTCAAGGAGGAACGCGACGTCTTGGTGTACGGAGACAGAAGGTGGATAACGCACCTTCATTATGCTTTCCAGGTAAGAGATTATACAATTTTTACCTTCATAAGAGGATAAGGGGCTAAATTCAGAATCGTCATTGGTGTACGGAGAGAGACAGAATCTTTATTGGGGTACCGAGACGGAAGGTGGATAACGTACCTTCATTATGCCTTCCAGGTAACAAATCATACAATGTTTACCTTCATACGGGGATACGGGGCTAAATTGATAACCTTCATTGATGTACTGAGGCATAAGGCAGAAAAAGCACCCTCATTGCGCTTTTCAGGTAACAAATTATACAATGTTTACCTTCATGAGGAGCTAAATTCAAAATCTTCATTGGCGTACTGAGACAGAAGGTGGATAACACACCTTCGTTATGCTTTTCAAGTAAATTATACAATATTTTCCTTCATAAGGGGATACGGGGCTAAATTGAGAACCTTCATTGGTGTACTGAGGCATAAGGCAGATAAAGAACCTTCATTGCGCTTTTAAGGTAACCAATTATACAATGTTTACCTTCATAAGGAGCTAAATTCAGAATCTTCATTGGTATACTGAGGCATAAGGCAGATAAAGCACCTTCATTGCGCTTTTCAGGTAACAAATTATACAATGTTTACCTTCATAAGGAGCTAAATTCAGAATCTTCATTGGTGTACTGAGACAGAAGGTGGATAACACACCTTCGTTATGCTTTTCAAGTAAATTATACAGTGTTTACCTTCATAAGGGGATACGGGGCTAAATTGAGAACCTTCATTGGGGTACTGAGGCATAAGGCAGATAAAGCACCTTCATTGCGCTTTTCTGGTAACAAATTATACAATGTTTACCTTCATAAGGAGCTAAATTCAGAATCTTCATTGGTGTACTGAGACAGAAGGTGGATAATGCACCTTCATTATGCTTTTCAGGTAACAAATTATACATTTTTTACCTTCATAAAGGGCTAAATTCAGAATCTTCATTGGTGTACTGAGACATAAGGTAGATAATGCACCTTCATTATGTCTTCCAGGTAACAAATTATATAAGGGGCAAAATTGAGAATCTTCATTGGTGTATGGAGGCATAAGGTTGATAACGCACCTTCATTTTGCGTTCCAGGTAACAATTATACAATGTTTACCTTCTTAAGGGGAAATATGGGCTCATAGGTCCTGGTCAAACCTTAAACAAAAAATAATTGTAGAGTAACAAATCATGAAATATTACTCTGGAAAAGTTCACTGTCAGTAGGTATTACACAGGGCAGCATGATTGACCCTCTATTATTCGTATTTTATGTAAATGGTAAAGCATGAATCAAAAAACAAGCACTTTTCTCAATTACCAAAACTTCAGTATATATTTTGATTTGATTTTGAGTAAAAGTAAGCTTTTCAGTAATATTTGCTTTATATATGGATATGCATATGAGCATATTTATATATTAGGATAACCTATTGAAATGAATAGATTCTTCTTTTGTCTTTAAATAAAATGTCAAGTAATTTTATTATATATACAGAAGAAGAAGAATGTATTTATTTCAATAGATTATCCTAATATATGAATATATTGATATGCATGTATACTACTACTGGAAAACTCAAAATCGAATTCAAATAAACTTTATTGCCTGGTGATTAAAAAAACGTATTGACAAAGTGTAACATGTACATAAGTCTTTATTATATACTATGGTTCAAATTATACTGGATCAATAAAATGCAACAATAAACATAAATTATCCAGTAGATTATGGAATGAATGAATAAATAAAATGAAATAATGAATTCATATATGAAAGGATAAAAAAATACAAATGATTAAAATAGCTATGTAATGATATGTCGGTATTCTCTAATTGCTTTTCTGAAAACTATGAGTGATGGACTGTTTCATTAGGTAGCTTGTTAAATTCTCCAAAACCTTAAAAAACAGGGAATTCATTGATGCCTACTTGTCTGGTTTTCAAATGAAAATATTTGAGTTATTTCTGGTGGAGTAGAAATAAATTTCAAAGTAGAATGTGATGATAAGAATGGGTTGAATTATTGACAGACACAGGTGTCTGTTATTTGAACACAGTAACCTCAGATAAAGATGATGACTGTAATTGTAGTGACTACGTTAATAGTTTCTCAACTAATGAATGTCAAATAAATAAGGAACTTGAAGATATGTTTATTTTTATCCCATACTTAGGAAAATTGTTCCAAATTACGCGAGGACTACAGATCAAAAATTAAAAACAAAAGCAAAATGTTAAGAAGCTTAAAGCAGATAATTACAAATAAATTGTAAAAAGAATATCTTCAAGAGAGATTAGTTTTTTGTTAAAATAGAGCTTTTTGGTTTCCTCTCCAACATTTGACAAAATACTTGATAAAAATGATAAAAACTTTCAGATTGTACTTCTGCAGAAGAATATTATTATATCTGAACCTGTCAGTGTTCGATTAGGGTTACCAACTTCTTTTGATAGTGCATTTGTTGAAGTAATGTCAAAAACTCATCTATTTAATTTCTGAGGAATGTTCTAAGCGAGAAGGGTCAAGATATTCATGTTCCAAATAACATTTGAAAGGCCTAGTAGATGTTTTTGTGATGCAAAAACATCTACTACGCCTTTCAAATGTTTGCAATCAAATTTCTTGACATCAAAATCTTAGCATGATATCAAATCGAGTTCCCCAATTATTTTCAACAAAAAAACTGATTTGTTATATCAGAGAAGACTATTGAAACCTCCTGCAGTGTTAACATAACGTATATGTATGATTCTCAAATAACATGTACCAGAATTTAATTATATGTCATCAGAAGATAGAGTAAATTTTTGAGCAATTATTGGCAGGTCATTAATTTAAAATGAAAAGGCCCCATTAACGAACCCTGAGGCACTTTCCCAACTCACAAGGTCTTCGTAGCAACTTGTATATGTAAATTGTCATTTACAATAATTTTATGAACATTCTTCTTATTCACTCTTATTAGAATGAAAGTGGAATATGAAGTAGGAGTTTAACTTTTGATCTATACAAGTATCACATTTTATCTTCATATATGTTAAATTTGGAATGTTCGTTCCAACAAATATTTCCTCAATCTAATCAAACACAGGAGGAATGTAGCAATGATGTTGTGATTACCTGATAAGATATAGATGCAAAATGCATTACCGGAACAAACTCATCAGATCTTGAACTTCACCCTGTAGATAATAAAGTTTCATACATTATTTGTTATTAATTTTGTTGTCAAGGTTTTGCATTACCGGAACAAACTCATCAAATCTTGAACTTCACCCTGTAAATAATAAAGTTTCATACATTATTTGCTATTAATTGTGTTGTCAAGGTTTTGAAATTTTATGATCTATTAAAAGTCCTTTTTTTTCAGGACGAATCTAATCTGTATTTGGTGATGGATTATTATTGTGGGGGTGATCTGTTGACGCTGTTAAGCAAATTTGAAGACCGTCTTCCAGAAGAAATGGCTAGATTTTACATTGCCGAAATGGTCTTGGCTATCGATTCCATACACAATCTCAGATATGTGCACAGGCAAGTAAACAAAATCTAATCTGATTTCTCAACAGTAAAGAAAACTGTGTAATTTAGAGTGTAATTTCCCTACTGTTTTTCCTTATATTTGATTTTTTTAGAGACATTAAACCTGATAACATTCTATTGGACGCTAACGGTCACATTCGGTTGGCTGATTTTGGGAGTTGTTTGAAACTGAATGATGATGGCATGGTGCAGTCCAATGTAGCTGTCGGTACCCCAGATTATATTTCTCCTGAAATTCTTAGGGTGAGTAGATGACTCTTTGAACGAAAGTAAACAGAGTGTTACTGAAAAGTTGCATAATCAAGTTGCGTTTTTTAAATTAATTAACAGGTGACACCCAATTAAGTTCAACTGATTTTTCACAATAAATTATATGAATACAGACATAATTACATCTAACTTGCTTGCTAAAAGTAAAACTAACTTATAGATAACTGTGACTGTGACAAAATAAATTTATTGATGTGCGAGAATTGAAATAAAGATTAAATGAACGATGAGGATAAGAATTTCTGAGGAGGCGTAATGCAAACTTGAATTTTGTTTTGTTTAATGAGTATGTAATGAGTAATCCACTGCCTGAGAGTAATTTCCAGAGAGAGCTGAGTTAGATCAAACAAATCATGGTCAACAACGGTTATAAGGTAGATGTTATAGACTCCATTCTTTTCAAAAAACTTCAAGATGCAATAACGTCAGTTCTAGGACATTGTCATATTTGGGTGAACCAACTAATAATACTGCTCATTTTTTGAAGAAAGAATGCATAAACGTAGCTTACAGAACAAATAATAGTTTAAGTATATTTATTAAAAACAATAAAGACAAAACTTTGGTGTCGGATAGATCAGGAGTATATAAGCTGACTTGTGGCTCTTGCCCAAAACTGTATATTGGCCAAACAGGGAGAACATTTTCCCAAAGATTTATAGAGCATAGTAGTAGTTTTGTAAATAGAAAGACCAATTCCACATTTTAATTCCACCTTTTAACAGAAGGACATGAGGTCAATCATGAATACGATGTGTTACATTTAGAAGAGTTTGAAACTCAATCTTCTAGAATGTTTAGAAATCAATAGATTCAGGAATTCTGGAAATTTACTGAATGATCAATCAGAATTGAATAACTCCCCTTTACTAAATATTTTTTCAAATGTGGAAACTGGGTCATAAGCTCAGGTAATTTATACAAACTTAGGTAAAAATCAGGTACTTGAAATATAGGTACTTCTAATTGTAAAACTAGATATATTAAGTATTGAATATGTAGAATATTGTTAGTAAAGAGACACCCAAAGAAGCCATTATATGGAAAAACGTGTGTTGCTTTTTGTAAAATTTTTTAGTGAAAATCTCACAATAAAGTGCATGTCAACTGTCACACTCATATCTCTCAATACTCTGCTTCATTAATAGACTACATTTGCAGTAATTTCGATTTAACAAACATTGATTGCTCGGTTATCCCTTCTGGGCTATCGGATCATGAAGCTGTAGTCTTTTCCTCTAAATTCCCTTCCAAAACTGCCAGTAAATGTGAGAAAATGAGTCGTTTATTCAGCAAGCGGAACTATAATAGGTTTTATCAACGTTGTGAGCAAACAAACTGGGCATTCTACAATGCGATGACGATGACTAAATAAATATTGTTAGAAAAAAATTAAATTTTACCTTACTTTTTTAACAGACCTCTCATATTAAAATAAATCAACAGTTGAATCAATGAAGTAATATGAACAGTTAACTATTAGGGAGATTATCCTTCATTTCTCTCTTAAACAATATGTTTATAAATGTCGAACAAAACATAACATTCAGAAGTTAAAAAATCATTGTAAATTTTTTTGTTCTATTTTTATATCAGAAATAGGAGTGTTCATATCATCTGCAATAAAGAATCATTTATTTCATCAGTTAGGACTTCCATTTTTAATAAAATTGTTATTTTCGGTTAATCTTATTAATTTTTTTTAATTGTTTTCAAATCAATTTATATTATATTAGACAATGGAAGTCCGAACTGATGAAATTCACCATGATACATTGTCAACCACCTTCAAACAAAGAATCATTTGATATGCAGTGTCGGTGAAGGTTCACATCTTTTAGAAAGATGATAAGAAGAGAGGCCCTAGAAAAAGTCCTTGTGTCACATTAATATTATTGGATAATAGCTCTCAAATTATCTTCTTGATGATCATAAATAAAATGGCACTACCAAAAATTTAATTCCACAGGCGATGGAGGACGGTCAAGGCAGGTACGGTCCCGAATGTGATTGGTGGTCTTTGGGTGAGTAGTAATAAAAATAATAATGACGACGATCTCTAAAAAAATGAGCTCCTGAATTCTGATTTTGGTTATTTTGTGTATTCTCTAGGGGTGTGCATGTACGAGATGCTGTTTGGAGAAACGCCATTTTACGCAGAGAGCTTGGTGGAGACTTACGGAAAAATTATGAACCACAAAAACTGCTTCGATTTTCCCACCGACGTGGAGGTAACCGATTCCGCTAAAGATTTGATAAAGAGGCTCATTTGCAGTCAGGAATTTCGATTGGGACAGAACGGCATTGAAGACTTCAAGGTATGAGCAAGAGATAACTATTTTCTATCGCTTCGACTGAAGATGCATTGCCTGTGATGAAAATAAAGATATGACAACGAAAAGACTCGGAAGCTCGCCTTCGTAATCTTGGTGGGAAATGTCTCGAATTTTCTTCACTGTAAAACCGGAGGTAGAAAATTGTAGTTATCTCAGAGAGTTTTTTCTGGCGATAATCGTAGAAAATGGTCGGATGCTGTAGAGTTTCAGAGTCCGATATCTTTGCTACGACACATTGTCTGTGTCGCTGAGCTGGTTAGACGAATGAATTTCCTTTTTTGACTAATCCGCTTTGAATGTAAAACGCGATACTTTTCTTTATCCGCGTGCCAGATCTGAAATAACTTGAACGAAATCAAGTTGACTCAACAAGTTGGTGACCAAACTGATTTGATTGGCGAAACTTTGGCTGAGTTCAAGTTCTTTCGAATTGCTCGGTATTTGTTGAGTATTTTGTGTTTTATATCCGTGCCAGAGGCGGTTCATTCTCTTAATCCCTTCTAGCGACACGTTTCGAGAGCTAGTTTTCTCAATGATTTTTCTTTAGTAATCTGAGGCAACTTCTGCTTTCGCTCAATTTCATGTTGAAATTTCTTCCGAGGGAAGTCCAAAAATCTTTGTCGTAGAATCATCCCTGGTTCGAGAATGTTGACTGGGACGGAATCCAAGACAGCAACGCACCTTATATCCCGGAAGTGTCCAGTCCTACAGACACCTCGAATTTCGATGTAGACGACGCTGACATTCGGTTGTCAGATGCGATGCCTCCAACTGCCAACAATGCCTTCGCCGGTTTGCATTTACCGTTCGTTGGATTTTCCTTCACCCAAGGAAGGTAAGATTTGTACTATTAGCGACTGGAGTAGCGCACAATATTTCAGAAATTTTTACGAGTGTTTATGTGACATTTTGAACTAATTTTTTTTCGATCGAAAATATTCCTGAAACGATTTAAACCTCTTTGGAAGTTTTTCGAATTGATCATTCATTAAAAATAGAAGAAAAAAAAAGAGTTTTATAAAAAAGAGGCTAAAAAATTTGAAGAGGGGTTGAATAACAAAGTGAAATTAAAAAAACTTCAGTGGGGACCCTTAAAAAATGAATAATCAAGAGAGGGGGAAGAAGAAAAGGGGCAATAAGAAATATTTTTTTCATTTTATGAAAAGAAAAGTCCTACACAGTAGGTTGAATAGACTGACGCCTATCAGGAAACAACAAGCATAGCCCACTGACTAATAAGAAAGTTTTTCTTCCTTATTCAGAAGAAACGGGTAAATTTCTGATATGCAGTTGGTTACTACCTCGTCCACTAGATGGAGTGACATTTTGTTATTCGCTCCAACTGAGGAAGAGGAATGAAAAATGAGTTTTACAAAAAGGGGAATAAAAAGTTTTGAAAAGGGGTTGAATAAAGAAGAAAAAAATTAAAAATCTTCAGTGGGAATCGTCAAAAACATAATAACCAAGAGGGGGAAGATGAAAAGGGGACAATAAGATTTTTTTTTCATTCATGAAAAGAATAGAAAAAAAAATAACTATCATAAAAAGACAGAAAAGAAGAATTAGAAGAGGGGTTGAATAACAAAGAGAGAAATGAAAAAATCTTTGATGGGGACCCTCAAAAACATAATAATCAAGAGGGGGAAGATGGAAAGGGGGCAATAAGATTTTTTTTCATTTATGAAAAGAAAAGAAAAAAATAACTATCATAGAAAGACAGAAAAGAAGAAGAGGGGTTAAATAACAAAGAGATAAATTGAAAAAACTTCTGTGGGGACCCTCAAAAACATGAATGATCAAGAGAGGGGGAAGAAGAAACGGCAGCAATAAAAAATGTTTTTTCATTTGTGAAAAGAAAAAGTGACTTATAAAAAGAGACAGAAAAAATTTGAAGAGGGGTTGAATAACGAAGAGGGAAATGAAGAAAATCTTTAGTGGGAATCATCAAAAACATCAATAATCAAGAAAGGGGAAAGAGGAAAAGCAAGCAATGCATTTTTTTCATTTATAAAAAAGACAAAAATGAGTTTTACAAAAAAGGGAATAAAAAGTTTGAAGAGGGGTTGAATAAAGAAGAAAGAAATTAAAAATCTTCAGTGGGAACCGTCAAAAACATAATAATCAAGAGGGGGAAGATGAAAAGGGGACAATAAGATTTTATTTTCATTTATGAAAAGAAAAGAAAAAAATAACTATCATAAAAAGATAGAAAGGAAGAATTTGAAGAGGGGTTGAATAACAAAGAGAGAAATAAAAAATATTTAGTGGGAACCATAAAAAACATCAATAATCAAGAAAGGGGAAAAGCAAGCAATGCATTTTTTCATTTATAAAAAAGACAAAAATGAGTTTTACAAAGAGGGGCATAAAAAGTTTTGAAGAGGGGTTGAATAAAGAAGAAAAATTGAAAAATCTTCAGTGGGGACCCTCAAAAACATGAATAATCAAAAGAGGGGGAAGAAGAAAAGGGGACAATAAGAATTTTTTTTCAGCTATGAAACGAGAAGAGAAAAAGTGGCTATTATAAAAAGAAATGAAAAAAAAATTTAATAGGGGTTAAATGACAAAGAGAGAAATGAAAAAATCTTTATTGGGAACCATCAAAAACATCAATAATCAAGAAAGGGGAAAGTGGAAAAGTGAGCAATGGATTTTTTCATTTATAAAAGAAGATAAAAATGAGTTTTACAAAAAGGAACATAAACATTTTTAAGAAGAGTTGAATAAAGAAGAAAGAAATTAAATTATCTTCAGTGGGGACCCTCAAAAACATGAATATCAAAAGAGGGGGAAGATGAAAAGGGGACAATAAGATTTTGTTTCATTTATGAAACGAGAAGAGAAAAAGTGACTATTATAAAAAGAGATGAAAACAATGTAATAGGGTTTAAATGACAGAGAAATAAAAAAAATCTTTAGTGGGAATCCTCAAAAACATCAATAATAATCAAGAAAGGAGGAAGAGGAAAGGGGAGAAATAATTTTTTTTTCATTTATAATAAAAATAGAGAAATGAGTTTTATAAAAAATAATTCCTTGACATTCACTACACTGTAAAACATTTCTTTATAATATCGTGTGCTCTCTTGGAAGTCACAGTTATTTTCTAATTATTTCATTTTCAGTTTCATTTGTGATTTAAGTAATTTGACCATGTACATAAACTCAAATTTTACTGAAAAACAAAATCAACGAAATAAAAGTGATATTATGGCATTGGCTCTGAGTCAAGAAAAGGACGCCGACAAACGAATGTCTCCCGACGGGACAAGAAAACTGCAGGACGAAATAAATACGCTTACGAAGAGAAATTGCGAACTGGAGTCGCAGTTGAGAAATTTAGAAGCGGGAAATTCTAGGGAAGCACACGTAGATTCAATGGATGGACCCGAACACTGTAAGCGAAGTTTATAGTAATCAAAAAGATTTTTCTCTAACTTGAAAGTATGTTTTCAGCAAAAGTGAAAGAACTGGAAAAACTGGTTAGGGTTATTAAACAAGAGAGGGACGAGGTCCAAAAGGACAAACTGGAGTTGCAGGAGAAGTTGAAATTTCAAGATATGGAACTCAAAGACGCTTTGGCTCAGAAGAAATTAGCAATGGCCGAATATACCGAAGTTTCTGATAAGTTGGCAGAACTGAGGCAGCAGAAGCAGAAACTTTCTAGACAAGTAAGTTATTTATTAAATAAATATTACTAGAGTTTTTTTCCCAGCACCAAACCATTATTTTAACACCTTGGCACGTGTTTCGATAACCAAGTGATCTTTCAAGCCAGTCTCGGATATACCTACACAGTAGGTTGAATAGACTGACGCCTATCAGGAAACAACAAGCATAGCCCACTGACTAATAAGAAAGTTTTTCTTCCTTATTCAGAAGAATCGGGTAAATTTCTGATATGCAGTTGGTTACTACCTCGTCCACTAGATGGAGTGACATTTTGTTATTCGCTCCAACTGAGGAAGAGGAATGAAATACTCTGAAAGAATTCCTCAAACTTTGAATATTGAAAACCTAACTATAAAATATTCATATTGATGAATTCTTGAAATGGAACAAACAGATTGATTATACAGCTTACAAATTGAGCAAAATTTCGTATAGACTAAGGGTGGTTCACAAATATCTCAACAAAGAATCGGTAAAAATTTTATATTTTTCCAGTTTTGAGTCTGTAGCTAGATATGGAATAATATTTTGGGGAAGCAATAGTAATATAAATGAAATATTTATAATTCAGAAAAGAGCAATCAGAATGATGAGTAATTTGAAGTATAATCAATCGTGTAGAAATGTCTTCAAGAATAACGGGATAATGACGATATATGCTCTTTATATTTTTTATGAATGCTTAATGTTTGTATTAAAAAATAGGCATCTGTTTTTTAACAATATTAATCAACATTCCTATGGAACAAGAAGAAATGATTTCGTGCTCCCTATACATAGGTTAACCATAACAGAAAAAACTCCTCATTACATGTCAATGAAGCTATACAATAAATTGCCTAATCGAATCAAAGATTTGAGGAGCATAAAGAAATCTAAGAAAGAAATAAAAAAATATTTAATAGATTTAGAAGCATATAGTGTTAGTGACTTTTTGGACCAAACCTTATAGAAAGTATATTATATAGTATATATTTATGAGTATATGTAATCTTTTTTTTTTTTTTTGACATTATTTCATTCTGTTGTTTGTGTACAAGCTGTAATGGGCGGCATATTTTTGAAATAAACATGATTATTATTATTAATATTATCAGAAATTATCTAATCTACTAGGAAATTGAGAGAGGAAAAAATTTGCAACTTATCTGAATGGATAAAAAAATGTTATCATGACCTACAGCACTTTGAAATTTATTTTGCAATAATTGGCCAACATACGAAATTTATTGAAAATTGATAAAGTATGGATTACTGGAAAGACAATCAATGGAGGTGCCTCAAAGTAATGCTTTCACAGAATCATTCTCCAAGAGAATAATAATGATAATAGTGAGAGTATTGAATTATGCGCAAACTGTTGTCAAAGTCCAATAATAATAATGATAATTTTTATTAGTCTCAAGAAACATACAGTTTTTAGACACGTCAATACAATTTCTAAAATAGGTTTGAGAGGGTAAGATTTGTCAATATAGTTTTTAAAAAATGCTTGTAGATAAATTAGATAAAAAAAAATACAAGTTAACAAGATAAAATTCCAATCTTATAAGACTTGACTAAAATGTAATGGTAATGGTAGTAATTCGATAGCACAAATTAATAAAATGATTTTCTGTACAAATTTCAGGTGAGAGATAAAGAGGAGGAACTCGAAACGATGATGCAGAAAGTCGATTCTCTGCGCAATGATATAAGGAGAGCTGAAAAACTGAGACGGGAACTGGAATCTCGCGTAGACGAAGCGCAAGCTGAGTCAACCAAAGAGAGGAAGCTACGAGAGAGGTCGGAAGAGTATTGCCGGCAGATGCAGGCCGAATCTGACAGGCTGAGAGTCAGGAGTGAACATGGGCCCCGGGATCAACAAGACTCGTTGAGGCTGAAAGCGGAACTGGAAAAATTGGAGGTAAGAACGAATTGTATGTACTACTGATGAACAATTTTTGAAGATTTTATAACCAATTATGAGTTTTCATATATTATCCGATATAAAAATGCGTCATATGACTGTCAAATGCAACAATATCATGTCAAAGGAACATGATGTGACGTTAGGGGTTCCTCAGGGATCAATATTAGGGCCTTTACCTTTCTGGTGTTTTTTTAATGGTGTCACATAACTATGTAGATGATACCACTGACTAATATGAAAGTTTTTCTTCCTTATTCAGAGGAATGGGGCAAATTTCGGATAGGCAGTTGGTCAGTAACTCGTCCACTAGATGGAGTGACATTTTTTATGTTAGCTCCAACTTAAGACGAGGAATGAAATACTCAAAGAATTTCGATTTTAAATTATGGAATATCATTGACTTTAGGTAGATGATGGTCACTATCTTGCTCTGAGAATGGCTAAGGATCCCGAAATTGGTATGCAAGTGTGCCCGTTTTAAAATTGAAGGTCGGCTTTTTCAGTTGTATTGCCAATTGCATATGCAGGAAATTTTCTGTGAAAATTCCTGCACTGACGCTTGTCCAACGCCCTTCGTGGTATTGCCAGGGGAGTAGTTGTTTTCTGATAGGCGTCAGTCCATTCAACCTACTGTGTAGGTATATCCGAGACGGGCTTGAACATTTAAATTTCACTTCTTTAGATTTTTTTTTCAATTATATTTTTATTAAAACAACGATAAAAATTAAACAAAAACAACAATAAAAATTAATTGGCGCTCAGGGGCGACTTCATTCATTCCAGTGGCGCATTTGCTTTTTCAGCTGCAGGAAAACCCGGAAAAACCTGCAGCACCACATCATCTGAAGATCTTGATCTAACAATGTCCTCTCTCATATAAAAAAAATGTAGGGTGTCTCCAGAGGCTCCAATAAATTCAATGCATCGCCAGAACACTTCGTGACTTTAGATATATAATTTCTAACTCAAAAATAAAGTTAAGAATTCAATCAATCAGTCTAGATCTGATGAAATCTTTCAGAATTATATAAAAATATATTTGTACAAAAGATGTTCTTAGAGTTTACAAGACTATTTGGATGATAATGGGGAATGTTCCTCAATTTGGGTTATTACAGCAAATGCAAAATAAAACAAAATAAAGTTGAGTTTAATTCATGAGTTTTTCAAATTCACTTCGAAAGGTATTCATATTGATGTTTCAAATGTTAGGTTTTAATTTTTAAAGGGATTTGTTCCTAATTCACATATTGGCAACAGCGCCTATATCAAGTTGAAATAATTTATACCTACCTAGATTACCTAGATATTCTACTTTAAAAAAGGATAATTATCTTTATAAATTAACAATTGAGGCAAAATATAAATTATAGTTCAATACCACCTCCACAAGCCACATAAACAACAGTTGTTTTGTTATTTATTTATATAGAGGAAGATAGGTTAGGTGCACAAAATGTGATATGTCACAGAATGTCTCGGAACATAAGTAAACAGAGCAGCACGCCACTGAAAAATGTCATCTTTGTTTGTATGATACAGGTAACAGATTCATTGTCCTTTATTAGCTATAACCGATGTTACCAAATGGTGAAATAGAAACGAATTTTAAATGTCAAATGCATTATTTCATTCCTCTTTTTTAAGTATTTAAATAAATTTTCAAAGAAAAAAGTTGAAATGATAACTTTAAAATGCGTTGTTTTAGAGCTCTTTTATGAAAACTACTTGATTTTCGTCAGAAGGACAATTCTCCATTGCCTATGTAAGAAGTAATAATAATAGTGATACATTTACTCATCTTTTAGATCATTCATATGACATCAGGCATGTCATAAATAAAATTATATACACAATAATAAAAAACTGTCGACAGTATAAACATAGGATAGAACACTTGAGACAAGTAATTAACTATACATTAAAAAAAAGTATGTAATTGTTCAAACTGCAATATTTGTATATTTAGGTAGTAAACTCACTGACTTATCATTTTCACATCAAGTACTGAATAGTTTTATTGTACAAAAGCCATTTTTTTGTGGAGGAAATCAAGAACTTTTGTATGGATCTTTCTCAGGGAGATACAATTTTCTTTTATCATGGTAGGTGGAAATATTACATCACAAAGCATCACTGATGAACATTTCCCTGTGTCGAAATATTCAAGAATTCCATTTTGAAATGAAAACATTGCAATATTTTTAATTTTTTTTACATTACACGCTTTATATTAGCTTCACCTGTATGTATGTTTGTATGTTTGTTTGAGTGTAACTCTTCTTTTCATTTCATATCAGCATCTGATATTTGACAGAATTATCGACATTATTGATTGATCTATTCGCGGGCAGATGGCGCTGTATGTAACTTCTTTGGTATAATTCTAACTCACTTTACATGTATTTCTTCATTCGAAAAAAGTATTTTTTTTATTAACACGCGCCTGCTGCCTTATTTGTAACCCTCGTTTGCGCGCCTGCTGCCTTGAGCTTGGTAGCTGCTTTTTCAGGCTCCCTCTCCAGAATCGAAAAATATCAAACGATTTTTTTTAGTTTTTCAAACTATATCTATTCGTTAATCGATTATGATTGATAATGTGATTTTTTGCAGGTTCAGTACAATGAAAGTTTGTCGCAGCAACAAGCCCGATTCAATATGGAACTGTCATCTTTGAGAGACCAGTTGCACGAAGCAGAAACGCATAGGGAGTTGCTAGAAAGAGAAGTAAGGTTACCGGACTTGCAAATATCATTTATTTTTTTGTTTTCGTATTAGTTTTATTTCATTTGATATTTCATGTTAGGTGCATATGTTGAGAGAGAAACTGGACAAGTCCAGATCAGAAGCTGTATCCGATTCTGAACAGATATTAGCTGAAGTTAACCGTAGGCATGACAGAGATAAGCAAATGTTAGCCGAGGATAACAAAAATCTCTCGTCAAATGTCGGCTTTGTGAGTTGTGTTTTTATGTTTTAGTTTGGGCTTTACTTGTTACCGACACTGGCAGTAGAAGACGTTCTTTACGTTACTTTTTTTTCAGCTGACTGAATCCATGAATCGACTGCAAACGGAAAGGTCCGCTTTGGAAACCGAATACGAGGAGCTGAGAAGTAAGCAAGAAGCTTTGGGTCAGTGGGAGTCGCAGTTATCGGAAATCATTCAGTGGGTCAACGACGAAAAAGACGCGAGAGCTTACTTGCAAGCACTGGCGACGAAAATGACTGAGGAGTTGGATTATTTGAAACATACGGGTGGGTTTTCAATACCAGTTATTTCTCCTGTTTTATTATATTTGTCACTGCTTCCGGATCCAACTAAAGCACCTCTCATACATAAGAATTGTGAAACAGGGGTTTCATCAACCAAGTCGGCGACCTAACAAGATGAATTTTCGTTTTTGAAATGATATCAGTGATTTCGCAATTGCTAATTATTATTTCTGCCTCTAATTTGTTGAAGAAAATGGTTGAAAGAATGAGTGAAACCTTTGTAGCTAGTCATAGCTGATGTCTAATTTTACTATTTTAAGAGCTTCAAAAGCACCTTCTGCACCTGATTGAGAATTGTATCTACACTTGAGCAAAATCATTACATCCGTTATTTAATCGCAAATAGGATTACGCATTATTTGGCAGAAAATAATATACTGTGCAAAGATCAACATGGATTCAGAAAGAGTAAATCAATTGAAACTGCAACTGCACTTACTGAATTATATCTACAAAGAAGTGGATTCGAATAACTTAACAAAAGCGTTTGACACAGCGTCTCCTGAATTTCTAGTTGCAAAACTGACCCAACTTAGGTTCCCGAATAACTTGTTACAATGGATTGAATCTTACCTCAAAGGGCGTACCATGACTGTAAAATGTGAAAATGTTAGATCAAGGTGCAACGACGTTAAGCTTGGAGTGCCGCAGGGGTCAGTGCTTGGACCATTGCTTTTTTTGTTGTATGCAAATGATTTGTCAGAATATCTGAAAGATTGCCACCTTACCATGTTTGTGGATGATACCACTATCACAGTTACAGGGGGAAATATTGATGTACTGCTTAGTAGGGTAAAATGCATAATCGATAGTTTTAGCTCCTGGTGTCAGCGAAACAGATTAATATTAAACTCCACAAAAACTGTAATAGTAAATTTCTAAGGTTGTGAGCAGATGTATTATCGTGATGCAAAAGCCATGAATTGTTTTTCAACAATACCGGACGTTTTCTTCGTATTGTTTCTCGCAAGCTGGGCTTAATACTTCCTATTGACTATAGGACCTTATGGCAAGAACTCATGATGCACTACGCCATGGTAACTGAAAAAAACAGTGAGCAAAACCTTGTTATTTGATCGAACTTGGCATGCTTTTCTTGGTCTTGGCTCTCTTTTTTCCATTGGGTCGATGCAACTTTGGTTTCGATGTCATAATAATAATAATAAATATCTATTTCTGAAGAATAATCGCAAAAAGATACAAAAACAGAAATAACATCACCAGTGAGATAAATTATGTCAGACAGTTTGGCTGAGGTATTCAGCAATAGTATAGGGTTCTATATTCAGTAGAATCTTATGAATTCCCTTTTTGAATTCATCAAGTTTATTCATTTGTTTGATGCTGGTGGGGAGTTTGTTGCTTTTATAGAACGGGCTCCTTTTTGTAACAGTTAGTCTATGTTTTGGGTTACATAGTCAAAATTTCTAGTGTTATATACATTTTGTGGTAGACTATTTTCAAACAGATGTTTGTTTCTAAAAAGAAATAAGAGTTCCTGTATATAGACTCCTATAATAAGTGTAAGTATTTTAAGATTACTGAATTTGCCTCTACACGATTCTCTTGAGTTTAGTTTCAGCATAGTTCTTAAGGCTCTTTTTTGCACAATAAAAATTTGCTCTACATTTCTACTACCTTCATAAAAAATAATCCCATACCTACAAACAGTTTCAAAATTCAAATTATAGACCATTTGGATTACATCTGTGTCAACATACTGACCAATAACTCTCATTGAATACAACTTTTGACAAATTTTGAATATGATTGTCGAAACTTAGTGTGCTGTCTCTGTGCAGTCCTAAGAATTTGCATTCATTTTCTATTTTGAGTGAAATATTCGTCAGCCGAATTTTTTGAGGTAAGTCAAATCCTGCATGGTTTGTTTTGAACATTACAGTTTTGGTCTTATTGTCATTCGATATAAGTTTGTTTCTCCTGAACCATTCATCTGCCTCACAGAGGCTTTCTTCAGTTATGGATATCAGACCGGGATAGTCTACTGCATTAACCAGCAAGTTTGTGTCATCTGCATAATTTGTCATTTTGCAATTTTCCCCACATATCTTCTCCAGGTTATTTAGAAAAATGATAAACATCATTGGACCAATTATACTACCTTGTGGTACCCCAGTATCAATTGATTTTGTGTCTGATTCAGCTTTGATTCCTTCCTTGTTAATTAACACCATTTGTTTTCTACCTGATATATAAGATTTAAGCCATTTCAGCGCAGGGCCACGTATGCTATATGATTCCAGCTTTTGTAGAACTGTGTGGTTCAAACAATCAAAAGCTTTTGACAGGTCTAGAGAAAATCATATACCCACGATTCCTCACCAGTTATGACCCTTTTAAGAAAACATGAATCACCATTGAAGTCAAAATTCAGCAATTTTGGAAAGAACTTCGACGCCACACGCTTCATGCCCAAAATTTCCGAAAAAATATGTCAGCATCTTCTCTAATAGAGATTAGACAATTCTCCATATCAATTTTCTTCACTTGAACTTCACTTCACGTGTCGACTAAAACTGAAAGTTTCTGTTGATTCTCAAGAAAAGTACTTTGACCACGCTACTGAAGATGACTGCCACAGTTGCAGTTTGAGATTGTAACGTAAGAAGACCACATTAAAACCTGGAAACCAACCAAAACTTTGACCCAGTCGTGAAAGCCTACATTCCTATATTCTAAATGTTCACCATTTATTCCGTGACAAAAATGAAGTCTGTTTATGAATTTTTTTCCTGAAGTAAATTCATGGCAAACATCTCTTTTTCTATCCACGAGTAGTTCTGAAGGGAAGAAACAAAATAAGAGATTTGGAACTCTGGAGAGAAAAGTTGATCAATTGGTCGGTAAAATCACCTTTTTTTCCAATATCTGGTACCTGGGTTGATGTTTTTTTTTTAATTTGTTGAATGTAAATGAACCATTGGAAAACTTTTCCGTACTTCAAATATGTCTGTGTAATTATTTAATCCAATCTTCTGATAATGCCAACTTGGTTGAAGAAACGTGCATATGTTGTGTGGGAGCAGTGTTTTGTTGTAATGGTTCAACGCCAGAAACTCAAATTCTACTTTTTACTGACTATGATTTGTTATTGTCCTATTCGTGTTTTTCTTTTCAGGTGTATCAAATGCTGTCTCTGGTTCAGATAAAAACTGGAGAAACAGACGATCGCAAAAGTTGGAGAAAATGGAGCTATTGAATTTGCAGAGCTCTTTACAAAGCGAGATCCAGGCTAAGCAGGCTATAAACGAGGATTTGAGCAAGACCAGGGAAGCCCTGCTGGCCGCTCAAAAGTACGTGTTTATCTTTTGAATAACTCCATATAACCGAAATCTTATATTTCAGGGAGTTGAGGGAGTACAGACAACGAAACGAAGCTTTGAACCTTGATTTGAAGCGAAAGGAAAAACAAGTGAAGGAGTTTCAGAACCGGCTGGATTCGGAAGGATGTAAGTTGAATGATTATTCCGACATTTCTGACTGTCATTTTTTTAATTTGTTTGATTTTATTAGTTTCATTCGAGTTTATTTATCAAGATTATTTTCACAGCAGAAACAATTAAAATCAAACATTTTAACCTACAATTACTAACATTGTGGCCGATAAATTGATCCTTCTCATTATTAATACGTGACTGAGATTTCAGAAGTAAGAGAGATAACAAACATGATTATATTTTGGAGAATACAAATGCTGCCAGTAATATTGAATGCAACTTTTTTATATTTTCAATATACCATACAGACCAACAGGGCTCTGCTAAAACTTTCAGTCTTGTCAAAAAATTTGATACGCTGATAAATATAAACAACGATCTTACAACCATAGGAAAACTCCCTACTCGTAAATTCCACAGGAAGTCAAAATAGTCCTATATTGAGTCATCATTCAACTTGAGCCGCCTTGATGAGTTCCCTGTGTATGTATTGACAACGAATTCATTCCTTTTGTCTCTGAAGCTGAATGTGTTGGTGTTATTTTTAGCCAGCAGCTCGAATTATCCAAACAATTAGCTGTCAAATAATGTAAACTTTCACGGACATAGATAACTGTGTGAAAGCTATTTTGCGGGGTTTTATGGCCGTGGTCAGTAGGTTTATATGCCTGACGTTTTGTCTACTACTGCGGTAGACATCAAAGGCGATGTGGTAGCGGAAAATAGATTCAACACAATTATGTGTCATCGCAAAGAGAACCGACCTGAGTCTTTAAAAAATTCTCTTCAAACTGGACACTACTAGATGGCGCCACCGTAGATAATACTTTAGTTTTTCACCGCTGGATGGCGCCACTGTCAATTTTGAAAATATTGTGACCAACCTAACCCAAAGTGGCCAACCCAGGAATCGAAAAAAAAGCCAACCCAAGAACGGCAATTGAGCTTTCTCCTCTGACGTATAGATGGCGCCACTTGATTCGCGGACGAATCGTTAACTTTCATCTTCTACCGTTAGGTGGCGACACTATCGATAATACTTACTCTTATCTCCGCTAGATGGCGCCACCGTAAATTTTCGAAATACCGATCAATTTTCTAACGTTGATTCACCTTTTACCTCTTTTAACCCACCCAGGGCCCCATTATCCCCAACCTTTCCCGAATGCTTGTCGGGTTGTTGAAAAATATTAGGAATTCGAAATAACCCAACCCAAATCTACCGTAACCCAACGTAGGCCAACCCAAGCCAACCCAGGAATGGAAAAAGAGCCAACCCAACCCAAGAATACGGACTGCTTCCAAAGGAAGGAAGAAAGCAATTAGATTCAAAGTAAACTCCTTACAAAGATCTGTAGATCATACAAAGAAGTAACTGTCAGACACAAACTGGAAGAAAAAGCCCCTTCAAAACGATACTTTCATATAAACATTGAATTACACAAAAAAAACCTTCAGAAACTACCACTTTTATATGAACATTGAATTATACAACACTTTTTTCTATTCAGTTTATACTCCAAACATTATGGAATTGATTCAGATATCATTCACAGGATTGCTACAGTATATGAGAGAGGCAAAATTCCACTTACATGAACTCTTGTCACCCTTAATGTCATCCTTTCTTTAGAAGATTCCCACATTTTTTTGTATAAACATAGATGAGTCGAAAGCCAAAATCTTTCTTTCCCAAAAATAGGGCATTCTTTTTTAGCTTATCTCTGAAAAACTATTTTATAATTGACTCTCGGTTTGAATTATTTTGGAATTGTGAGAACGATCAATTTATAGTAGTGTCGAGGCTGCAGTGTATATTAGCACTCCCTGGCGGGTGGTAATTGTTTGTGTATGTATTTAGTCGGTTCTTGGCTGAAGCAACTGCCCTTGGTTATTGGAGTCACGTCATGCTTCTGGGGGATAATGTTACTCTACATGCGACTCTATGGTTGAATATGAACACGGTCCGAATCGAACTAGATATCGGTACAATTTTTTTTTAGGAGAGAAATCAAGTGATAAACTCAACTATGTTGTTCATTGTATATATTGTGTGAGATAGCATTGTATACATTTTTTATATTATATTGTTAAGAGCAAATTAATTATCTGACAAATCTAAAAAATGTTTGTTGATTCATGGTTGTTTTACCACCTGGCTGGGAATTTTTCAAGTTGGTAAAATGAATTTTCAGTTTTTGGGATTGAGGCCACTAATTTTGCCATGTGTACATTTGATCTACCGTTATTTATTTATATAAGATGATGTCTTATTGGGGCGAGTGTAATTTTGAAACTATGCCGACTTTAAATTTTCATTTCTATCAAAAAAGTTACTAAATAAAAATATATTCAATAGGCTTTTTCCATGTATTTATGCTTTTGCCTCATCTAAAAGTTTTAGCCATTGCCGTGTCTCAATATTTTTTTCAGTTCTTTAAAACATTAACACATGAAAAAAATTACAAAGAAGAAAGTTTCATTTCTCTTTTCTTCATAACAAAGAAGCATTCTCATGGTGTATTCGAGAAAAAACATATAATTTCACTTTGTTTTTTGCATATTCTAATTTATTGTGATACACAATCACAAAGAAGTTTGAATTTGAACACATATAACATAATTTTTACAGACATCTTCATAAAACTGTTCAGTTAACTTGACTCTAGTCTTATAATGTTTCCTTTTTCTTTTTAAAAATATGGAATTTTAATATGTCATAAAATTGTGTGCTGTGGTGCCTACATTTTGAAAAAGTTTCCCTTCTGACACAATTATGCCACAAATGATAACATGTTGTTGAGCAATTTTCTTCTTCTTCTTTTCTTCTGCTTTTTTTCCTGAGCAATTTTGAGGTTTTTTATAGCTGTGTTTTGTGATTATTGAATTTCAAACCTTTATCTATCTTTATTTATCCCAGTCATCTTGATTCTGGTTTGCTTTTTATTTCTTCATTGAGAAACCATTTGTAATTTTTTGGGGAACTTTGTAACAAATCTGTACTCATAAACAAGAGAGAGAGAGAGAGAAATATTCTTTATTTCCATTGTGCCATGAAGAGAATAATTTTTATAGACGAAGCAGTCACGATTTCAAAATTAATACATAGCCCTTTAAATATATCTATATGTATAAAATTCTCGTGTCACAGTGTTAGTTGCCATAGTCTTCGAAAACAGCTTAACCAATTTTTATGAAATTTCATAGGTATATTCGGTAGGTCTGAGAATAGATTTTAATCTATCTTTCATACCCCTAAGTGATAAGGGTGCTTTTTTTGAAAATTTTTCAACAAATTTTTTTTTTATGATGTGCCATTGAAAAATACAAACAACTCTCCATTTTCACCCTTCTATCACCAACCCCTATTTTTTAACAGCCATTTTAGTAATTTAATCTTTTAGTTCAGTTATTTCCACCAGGCGTATACTGGTGTCACTTCTCACTAGGTAAACAACACAGAGTAGGAATGAGAACGAAGCTGGTCTCATATCTCTCTCACACAATGAGCCTTCTCTCACTCTCTACACAGTTTGCGGCTATTATTATTGTTTATCCATCGAGCGTAGATACAGTTTGCGATGCCACTGAAGCTGTGGATTATCCATCATTGGATTTGCCAGGCATGCCACCGCATAATTTACAACTGAAGGTTGGATCGTTCCGTAATTTGAATCCACCACGGCTGTGCAACGGCACGCCCTTAGTCAATAAAAAAATAATGAAAAATGTTGTCGAAGCCAGCATTTCGAATAGAAAATTCCAATGTGAAAATATATCGATACCACGAATCCCTATTATACCTATAGATGTGTCAATTCATTTTGAAGGTGTGCAATTTCCAATTAGATTGGTCTTTGCAATGATTATTAATACGTCCTGAAGCCAAACAATGTCCGATTGGGGCTTAGATATGAGCATACCATGTTTTTCATAATACAATTATACGTGGCAAGCTTTGGAGTGAACAAATCATCCAGTTTGTTTTTGCTAGCTAAACTAACGAAAATTATTGTACACACTATAGGGATTAATATTTTTTGTGAGTGTTATTGCCGGGTCAGCTAGTAGACATATAAAATACATAAGAAAAAATACAAGTATATGGACAAGACATATTAGAGATGAATAATAAAAATAGTTGAAAGTGTATACAAAAAATTTACAATATTGAATAAAATTATAAAAGTGGCATTGTGTCAAATTATAAGTTCTTCAATTAAAATTATTGTTATAGAACTTCTCCAGACTATAATAAGTTTTTTAATAAAATAAAAATTGAACAGCCTTCCTGAAATGATAGTAATTAACTATGTTCCTTATATCATTAGGTAGATGATTAAATATTTTACATACATTATAAAATTAATGAATCCATCACAAAAGTCGAATTGATATAGGTATTTTTATTGTATTTTGCTGCTAGAATATTGAAAAAAGTCAGTATTGAACTTGCTTTATCATACATACTGTTTCCACAATGTGTGGCAATAACTTTTGTGAAAGAAACAACGGCCTACAAGAATATCGTGTTATGTCTTTGCTACTGCTGTCGTCTGAAACATTTAAATAGAGAAAGGAATGAAGTGGAATATTATAGAACTGAAATATAAAATTATTTATCATGGCTGCAGATGTAATAATTTTGAAGGCAATGAAGAAATTATCTGTGAAATGTTGATGTTATTCAGAATCTCAATAATTTTTTCATATTCATTCTAATTGATTCTGTCTGCTTTTGTGGTTTCAGATTGAAACAGAGATTTTTTTCGTTTACTAGGATCTTTTCTTATTGAGAAACATGATTCAAACTTCTTCAGACCAAAATTTCTGCATATTTTTTTCCAACAAAATAATCTTCCATGTCAAAGCTATTTTCAGGGTGGTCTGTACATTTTTATATCTGACTTTTCTTTATACGACTGCGGTATATTTATCAAAGGCGATGATGAGGCAGCGGAGGAAGTAAAAAATTTTCTTAGATTTTTCCATCCAATTGCTAGTTATTTTTGTTGTATATTTCATTTTTTCTATCGATAGAATAAATACTTTGAAGCCTTAATATACAAAAACTTACAGGGTGTTCCATTTAAATTGCATAAGTTAGTATCGATAGCATAATTTGATGTGATGGAAAAATGCCATTATTTTATTTGATCACCGAAAACTGACTTGTGCTAATTTTCCGATTTTGATTCGTACTGGTTCGTTGACTATGGCTAACCGACTGAGAAAGCGTCGTACCCCATTCTTTGGTGATGTAAACTAACACTTTTAGATCAGGCTGTCAAGTTCAAAATCAACGTAATCAATCAATGCTTCTCATCATTTCATGGCATATTTTCATTAAGTTTAAAAAAAATAGTTTCCAAGCCGGGGGTTTTTCTAACACGGTGGATTGTTTGGGAGCTAAATTGTCATCATTTCGCCTGCTTGTTCATTGTTTGCTTTCGAAATTTTTGCTCGAATCACACACATTTTTTAGGTTTGTTTCCCATAAACTTTTGTTAATTACAATTACTTTTTACGCTGTTGAATTTGTTTGAAATTTTATCTTAATAAACCACGAAGTGAAAGTTATTTTTGTTTTGAACCGTATCTATTCACGTGAAGACTTATGAATGTTTACATGCAGCGAGCATTGGGATTTCGACTTTCTTCAAACGTCACGTTAAGGGTTAGTCTCAGCATACTTCTTAGCTAGAGCCTAATATGCAATTGCTTGCGATTGCTTATATTTTTCCTATTGGTTACTGCTTGGAGTGCTAATATGATGTTTTGTCTTTGTCTTGAAGCATAGCATTTATACATGAGTAAATACTGTTTTCGAACACTTAACAGTTAGAGTTTTACCAGAAGCATTTGTTACCTGTTTGAAAGTGTTTTTCCATTTTTTTCTATAATAGTTAACATTGTGTTTTCATTAATATTCTTAGTGTTCGACAGCGAGCTGCTCGGCCTAGTGTTTACACTGAGTGTTTTGTGTTTCAGTTTTAGAACGACCTTCGTCTCAAATGTCGTACCTAGATCACTTCCTGAAGGAATCGACTCCGTCTCAGATGCTGTATGACAATGTCCCAGCCCAGAATCTCTTGTATAAAGGGGGCTCCATCGAATCGGAGGAGGGAGACATAGAAGACAACCGGGCGCTGAGCATGACAAGTTCCAAGAGCAACTTGTCTGAAATTAGCATGGTAAGTTTGTCAAATACATTGCGGTCGATGAATCTTGACATATGCAACATACTTTCTATTATTTGGGTCCTAAATTATATAATATGATACCAGAAGAATTACAGAATATGGTAAAATCGTATTTAAAGAAAAAAACTGTTAAACTAAAAATAAAAATATGGATTCTTGAAACAGGAAGAGGTATATTTAGTAAACTGATAAAAAACCATATCTACTAACCAGAATACACGTTCAATGTGGGAATATGGGATTACCTGATTATAAAAATAAAATAAACCAGATATACCAAATAATTATGTTATCTGTATGTAGGTGTGTATATGAATGTGCATATGTGTATATATGTATATATTTTTTGTTTTTTTTTTAATGAGGAGTTATAGTATATTTAGCACGCTAAGTAAACTCACGTACAAGAAGTGAATAATGTAAGTTATTCACCACTTCAGTGAGATCTATCATGTTTACTTGTATTTCGTGAATTTGATTCATTTCTAAAACTTGTCAAAATAAACATTATTATTATTATTATTATTATTGATTTGTGCATCTGAAATGAGTCAACGATGTAAAATGACATGGTCTACATCTAGGAACAGGTTTTTATTCTGAAGGAATGAATATAGAGATTATTCTATTATATTGAAGACAGTCTTAAAAAAAGGCTACTGCTCCAAACAACCCATTTTTTTTATGAAGAAATGGAATTCTTTAAGATATGTGATGGGATTGGCCAATACTTCATTTAAATCCATTGTAACATACGAGGTCTGTTCAAAAAATAAGGTAAATATTCAAATATCGGGGGATACCTATTTGATTACCGATTCTTAAATTTTTTAAGTAATAACTTCTTATGGGAGGGTAAACTGCTTCATTACCTAACGTGTTACGTTGCCAGTCTGTCTGGCTTTATTTCTCTCACGCATACGGCAGCGGCAGGTAGGCTCCTCCTCTCTCGTCGGACAGACGCTCAGTGTTTAGTGTGCGATAGACATATATTGTAGACAGTATTATAAAAATCTAACCAGCCAGCACGTAATATTTTTTCATTATGTGAAACGTTTCTTAAAAATGATGATACTAATTTTGTGTATGTGCATTATTAGTATCATTATTTAATCCTACAAATGTAATAATATGGTTACTGTAATATATGTACATTCACAAAATAATCAATGAAAGATTTTATTAATGAACAACCTCTACTTACATTATCATATTAATATACATAAAATTTAAGTAATAACCTGAGCTGGTTAACGACAGTTGGTTAACGGAAAAACATATTTTAACAGATTTTTTTAACTTCTCTCGTTAAAAAGTATAAATTTTTTTTTAAAAAATTGTACACGATAGCAAGGAAGACATCCATAGGGTGTAAAACATAATAAATATAATACAATACAAATTTTACAACATATACATTCTAACATAAATATCTGAGGGGGATTACTCAGAAGGAGACAAAATAGAAATTGATGAATAAATATATTTTCAGAAAAATTAAAATTCACCTTATTTTTCGAACAGACAGCGTACATCAAAAACTTTAGCAAGCTGACTTTGTGAACTGATATTTCTGTCAATCAATCAAACATTTATTGAATTAGTTTTCCTCCACAATCACATTAGACAAAAAAACTGGCTGATTCAACAGGTCAAAAAAACAAAAAAAGTCAATATAATACATACATAAACAAAAGTTTCAAGTCCAAATATTTAGAAAACGGTTGCTTACAGCGACTAGTAACAAGGGTAGCTTATTTACGTAGATATGATAGGGGAATCTATTTTTTTCTGAAAAATGTGCTAGAAGTACGCCCAAAAAAGTTATGAATCTTTAAAAAAGAAAAAGACGTGTAGGTGGCGCCCCCTACGAGTAAGAGCAACACCTCAAAAACCTCTTATTACCAAGTTTCGTTTGATTAAGTTCAGTATTTCAAAAGTTATTTGAAAAAAACGAAAATAAAAATAAAACTTCAACATCCTGTATCTTGGAAACGAAGCATTTCCGGACATTTATTTATTTGGACAATTCATATTAGAATATTGTGAGGAATCACCTCCTGAAGTTTGTCAAAGTACTTTTGAATCACCCTGTATATTGTTCAAATGATATCTGCCGAAAGATTTTATTTCGATTTTCACTATGAGAGGTTTACAAAACCGCAACATGTGTTTCGCCATACAATAGCTTCCTCGAGCAAGAACATTGAAAAGTTTTGGCCAGTTCCATTCAATGATGTCTGTCTGTTTCAGCACGAATCCCACTCCCCGATGAAGTTCAAAGCCCACCAGTTCCTCGTGAGAACTTTTTCTAGTCCGACAAAGTGCAGTCACTGCACCTCACTGATGGTGGGGCTGATGAGGCAAGGGATGGTTTGCGAAATATGCGGGTTTACGTGTCACACGGCATGCTGTTCGCATGTGCCAACTGTATGTCCAGTTCCACCGGATCAAAGTGAGTATTTATAGATGACCATTGATATTGTCTGAAGCAATATTATGTTATGGACAGACCATATAATGAACTGAGGATCATATCATAATGAATGCAATTACATTATTTTAACTGGTGTTGAATTTTTTTTTTCTTGGCCCACACAAGTAACTCTATGAATGAATTTAGACATCACTAACATGTTACAGTTGAAAATAGGACTGAATTATTAGTAAATCGATTAAAAGTATGTGGAGTATGTGGAGGCTTACTTTTTCTTGCATATAAGAGGCCTGCTCAAAAAATAAGGGGAATTTTCATTTTCCTCATAAGATATTAATTTATTGGTGTAGCAAACAGTTATGAAGAGCTATCAATTCTCTCTTAATTGATATTGAATTCAATATTTACGAGTATACACAAGAGTAAATACAAAAAAAAACAGATTCATATCGGAACACAATATAGTTGGAGACAACAGTGCCCATTGAATGAAAAAGAATATAATGCATGCCTTGTTACTTGTTAGTAGGGCAATTTCAATATTTTTTAGTTTCTTAATCGTTATATGTATCAGAAAACTAGTATAAAGTTTTTTTATATGATGTATTTTCTGATATATGTATTTTTACCTTATTTTTTGTATCCATCCAGCGAAACGCCCTCTCGGCATCGACCCTACCAGAGGAATAGGGACAGCTTATGAAGGTTATGTCAAGGTTCCGAAACAGGGTGGCGTTAAGAAAGGTAAACACTTCGATTCACAAATATTTCAACAATTCATCGTTATTATTTCATTGTTTTCAGGTTGGGTCAGACAATTCGTCGTTGTTTGTGACTTCAAACTGTTTCTGTATGATATATCGGCAGATCGCAATGCTTTGCCGAGCGTTCACGTGGCTCAAGTGCTGGATATGCGAGATCCGGAATTTAGTGTGTCCAGTGTCAAAGACTCTGACGTGATTCACGCTAACAAGAAAGATATTCCTTGTATATTCAAAGTAAGTCAACCGACACTGCAGAAGTAGTTGAAAAAAACAATTTTTGCGGCTGGTGGAGCGGTTGTGGTTGAACATTCCTCCCCCTGTAGCAGACCTATTTATCCATCATTTTGCAAATTCTGCCAAGGATGCTATTTCCACATACTTAGGTCAAAATCTAACATTACCCTGTATAACCAGTACATATATTAATATTGTACACTCATTTGAGAACGGACTGATTACTGAAGCTGAAATTCATGCTTCATTGAGGTTGATGAAAAATAAAAATTCGAGTGGATCAGATAACCTGTCAATACCAGTTTTTAAAACAAATATTTGACCTTATTGTAATGAGGAATGTTCCTCAATTTGGGTTGTTACAGCAAATGCAAGTTTGAACAAAATGAAGTTGAGTTTAATTCATGAGTTTTTCAAATTCACTTCGAGAAGTATTCAAATTTATGTTTCGAATGTTGGGTTTTAATTTTTGAAGGGATTTGTTTCTAATTCACATATTGGCAACAGCGCCTATATCAAGTTGAAATAATTGTTTTTCCGTTAATCAGCTGTCGCCCCCATACGAACGACAACTCTCAGAAGTTGAGAAACTTGTGCGAGCTAAGGACTAACGAGGTCTTACCTTTTAACGTGTGACTCCTAACAAGCCTTAGCCATTCCTCTTTTCAAAAAAGGAAATAGAAATTACCTGAATAACTACCGATAAATTTCATTGCTTTGTTCACTTTCGAAACTGTATGAAAAAATGGTAGCTACTAGAATAGTGAATTAAGAGTCAAATTACATACTATGTAATAATCAACATGGATTTAGGAACGATCGTTCTATAGAAACCGCTGCCTATAATTATCTCAGTAACATATACTCCAAAGTTGATGCCAACAATTTTTAGGCTTGGATTTCCACCATACTGACTTGGATAAAATCCTATATGAGTAGTCGGGTTTTGATAGTCAAATATAACAATATCATGTCCAAAGAACATGATGTGACATTAGGAGTTCCACAGGGATCAGTATTACGACCTTTACTTTTTGTGGTATTTGTCAATGATCTCTCAAAACATGTTGACAATTGACACATAACCATGTTTGCAGATGATACCACAATGACAATCACTGGGTCTACACTGGAAGATGTATTCATGAAAGTCAAAAGAGGTTATTGATGGATTTATGTCATGGTGTGAACGCAATCATTTGATATTGAATACCTCTAAATCTGTTTCCAGGCGGAGTTGATAATACTGATGGAATAGCGATGTCACATAATGTAAAATTTCTAGGTACCATGTTGGATGAATCTCTGAATTGGAGTTTGCATATTGATGGGGTTTGCAAGAAAGTAATTGCAGCATTTTTCGCGATTAAACAAATAAAATTGTGTGTAAATAAAAAAAATCTCTTGAGTATATATTTTGCAATGGCGGATCCGCATATTTCCTTAAATATAATGTCATGAGGATGTGGTAGAGATTTTAATAGAATATTTGTTGCCCAAAATATCATTATAATACTAATTTATTATATGGATTATCGTGAGAGCTGCAAATCCATTCCTATAAGGGAAAATATATCATCAGTCCCACGCATATATATATTTAAATGTGTGACTTATTTATTTATTTATTTTATTCAACAGGTAGTCCCATTTACAATTTGTTATAAAAGGTTTGTAAAATCTTAAACTAAATTAAAGATAATAAATACATAATACAATATAAAACGTAATACAATAATATAGTGATAAAACCACAGAACAATTTTGTTATTAAAAAAAGTTTGTAAAATATAAACTGAATTGAAGATAATAAATACATAACCCCATACTAACAATATAAAACAAAATACAATATAGTAGTAAAATCACAGTACAATATAGTGGTAAAATAAAATAAATATAAAAATTCTCCAGTATACGACTTCACAATAAAGGAGTTAAAATCAGATTAAAATCTTTAAGAATAATACGAAAATATTCTTAATAAGAAATGTTTTTATAGTTTAAATGACTATTGGATTGGTAATTCCTGATAATAATCCCCAATGTAAAATAATATATGTATTTATTTTTTTTTAATTGTAGCATTTGTATATTATATGCCGTGATATATATTTTTATATTTATGTTTAATCTTTATTATTGAATTTTGAATTCAAGTATGACCAAATATTGTTTTTATTCTTTATATGGATATATCATGTACAATTATTTGTTACAAAATTATTACCTTTATTATTATTAGTTAGTGCAAATGTGTTCTAATAACAAAATAAAACTGGAAAAAACTTTGAGCGTACTCAGTGGCAAATCTGAATCGACAGATTCTGACAATCGTCCCTTTTTAGGAGTGGCTCAGAGATCAATGAATGCAGTTGAGGAATTCAATAAAATATTGAATTTATATTGAGTTTAAGTGAATGTTTCTGAAACACTGTATATAAGACAATTATTTAACAGCAACCAACTAGGTTTTCAGACTAGTAAATGGTAATTTTGATATGTTATAAAACTTAAATAGTTATTGTTTCAGTATTGGTATTTATAATTCAGTTAACATTTGTTATTTCGGGTACCTATTGTAGGTACCAAAAGTACATTGACTGTATTATTAGTTTTGGTTTTTTGAATACTGCCTGTCAGCTGATGCAATTCTATCTGACATGTAGAAAACAATTCCTCTCCTATAACGGTTATAAATCTAGAACATATATAGCTTCTTCTGGTGTGACTCAGGGCTCCAACCTAGGCCCTCTTTTGTTTTTATTGTTTATTAATGATTTATGTGAATGTTTAGCTTGTGAGCGGCTATGCTTCGCGGATGACTTGAAATTATTTTCTATAGTTAAGGAAGTAGGTGATTGTGTTGATCTTCAATCTCAATTAGAACTTCTTGTTGCTTGGTGTAGCAAATATAAATTGAAACTCAATGTGGAGAAATGTAAAGTAGTGAGTTGTAGTCGAAAAAAAGAAGTTTATACATTCCCGTATGTAATACAGGATTCAGATCTGCTGAGATGTAATGAGATCAAAGACCTAGGGGTAATATTCGATCATAAATTAACATTTGGTAGACATATTTCACAAAAAGTTTCAGAATCTCTCAGAGCTTATGGTTTCAGTGTTAGAAATTGCAGACACTTTCATAATATTAAAGCCAAGAAGCTGTTGTATTTCACCTACGTACGTTCGATGGTTCTTACCCTGAGAGAGGTATCAGTAATAATGTCATATATGAACGTTTGGAACTTTTTAGTTTACAGCATCGCAGAAAATGTGCGTCGCTCATATTTTTATTCAAGTTAGTGAATGAGAGAGTTGACTGTCCTGAAATTCTTGAACAAATTAACTTCAATGTACCACGGCCAGCTTCACGATCTCAATCCATTTTTAGACCTCTCAGAGCAAGAACTAACATGCTCAATTCCCCAATAAATGTTATGTGCACAAATTTCAATAGCATTTGTGCCCATGGTGATTTATTCCTCATTAACGTATTAGAATTGCTAACATGTACTTGAAGTAGGTAATTAGAATTAGTTTTTCTTTTTTGTTCATTTTATTTTTCGTTTATGGTTAAGTATTGCGAATAAAATTATGGGGAAATGCTACAGAAATAAATAGGATATTTGTTACACAAAAACGAATTGCTAGAATGAGGAAAGCCACGTGATTCTTGCAGGGAAATTTTCAAGAGTAAAAAGATTATGACACTTTGCTGCATTTATATTTATAAAAGTTGCTTGCACATTAAAAAGCATGAAAATGAGCTAATGAAAAACAATTACCACCATCAATATTGCACTAGAAATGCTTCAAATTTAATAACAATGACTCACAGAACATCCACATTTGAAAAATCGCCAACTTATGCTGGGGTGAAAATATATAATAAACTCCCTAATCTATCGTATTAAAAAAATCACTGAAAGATTTCTTATTGGCTAAATCTTATACATTACAAGAATATTTCGCTGATTGAGTTTTTTGTGGATATCTGTGTGTAAATAATCTTAATCAATCAATCAATCAATCAATCAATTTATTCATTGTAAATGAAACATTACAACGTCGTTATTTCCTTAGTATTAAAATTAAAATTAAAATACATATACACAGAGATGCACAGATCAAAATTCTATACGTTTTTACATTTTTATTTATACATATATGTATATATATCTGTATTTTACGGTCCTATGTTTATATGTATTGAATGTATATTTACATGTTTGTTTGTTTACATATTTATAAGTATAAGTTGACGTGTTCGATAACATGTAGTTGGTCCATGAATGAATACATTTCTTTCTTTCTTTCTAAAATTTTATATTGTCCTGTAAATGGGTAACTGTTGGACAATAAAGCTATTATTATTATTATTGTATATTCAAGGACGTGTTTCTCAAAATGTATCACTTGAAAATGGTTTAACAAACCGAAACCGGTCGTAACAATTGAAAAAATCGCTAGAAATCAGATAAAAGTGATATTTTTTATCCTATATTTTGTATATTTCAATACTTTTTTTTAATATTCAGCTATCTTTTATGCTTTTCCTGTTTCCACCAGATAACGACGTCCTTCATGGAACCACCAGGACCCCGGAACTCAACCCTAATGCTAGCCGACACTGAAGCTGAAAAAAACAAGTGGGTAGTCGCTCTAGCCGAGCTCCATCGAATCATGAAGAGAAACAACCTACCGAACACCACAGTCCTCGTCGCGAAGGAGCTCATCGACGCGTCTCTACCTTTACTGCGGAATGCCCTAAGCGCCTCCATCATAGACCCCGACCGGATAGTCCTGGGTACCGAAGAGGGACTGTACTGTATCGACCTAGATAGGACCGAGGTGGCCAAGATCGGCGAGGGGAAGAAGATTCTCCAGCTCGAGTACATCAGCGAGGAGCATCTGCTGGTCGTCGTCAGCGGGAAGCAGCGGCAGGTCCGGTTGGTTCCAATAAGAGCCCTCGACGGGGACGACGTCGAGTGGATCAAAGTCACCGAAAGTAAAGGATGCTCTGTGCTGACCGTCGGAGCGGTGTTGAGGGCGCCGCTGACGTTTTGTTTGTGCGTCGCTATCAAGAAGCAGGTATGATGGTTATTTGAAAATCGATTCACATACTCCCAAATTTTATTGATTCACTAATAATAATGATAACGATTCATTTTCGTATGCAAAGTTAGGAAATTTTTGAATATATATCTCAGATGAAGAAACCTGCACCACGTGCAGTCCACTCAGATGACAATCATTTTGATTCTGGTGTGAAATGATGGGGCCATGTTTCATCCATTGTCACATGTCGACGCATAAATTCAGGTTTTTTCGCGGTGGAACAGCTCCAAACACTGCTCAGAATCGTCAATTCGTTGTTTTTGGTAGATTGTGGCACTCATATTGAACAGAGCTTTTGCATACTTAAATATTCATGCACAATATATCCAACATGTTCCTTTGATATCTTTAGAGCCTCAGCTATCTCGATCAAAGGAAATAGAAAACAAGAGTTCAAAGGTATACAATTTGATAGTGTTCTTGTAGCAAATGAAGCAAAAGTAGCAGGATATTTTAATTCATTTTTCATTGACAGTTTGAAAAATCTAACCGAAAGTATAGTACCAATAAATGATTATAATCATGTTCTCAGTTATATTATACCAACAAATGAGATACTTGGGGAATTTGAAACATTGAATATGTGCGAGTTAAAAAAGATAATTTTTTCCCTCAAGAAAAATAATACAGATGACAATGGAATTAATCTGAATATAATCAAGTTAACATTTGAAATACTGGGAAATAGGTTTTTGGACTTGATAAATTTATCGTTAACCACTGGAACATTTCCTGA